AATTGCTAAATCCATTACCCCTGAGCTCTCGGTGCCTACTTTTTCTTTCAATGAGAAAAGTTCATTGAAGGATTACTGTTGCAACATGATCTCTGTATCTTAATATGGAAATCAAAAGGCTTCAATCACCTTGTCACTTAAGGTCAGCACTGACATATGACAAAGGCTGTGAGATGAAAGGTTTTGCCTTTGAAAACCTATCCCTGGACTGGTATGCTTATAAGTAGTAAGATTTTATATTAATGGTGCATATGCCCCAAATGCCCCACTGAATTCTTTGTCCAAAAGATACTAACAACATTCTAATGAGAATCATAAAACAGTCTACTTTATTTGGGCATTTTACTGTTAATCCATCTCAGTACACATGTTTGAATGGCACAGAGGAACCCAGAAGAGCTTGAGCAGATGCTCATTGAGCTGCAAAGCCTCTGGAAAGAATACCTAAACAAAACAAAGAACAGACTGATAATTATGTAGACATTTGAGAAAAGTTGGCATGTGTAGTTGGGGGCATCTTTCAGACACCTGAGATGATTGTGATACATCATAATTGACGTCTTAAGGAGTTCTCTCGGCAAGGTCTTGTGTTCTTTGCACCCCCCCACCCCCCACCAACCTTAATCCACGCCCAATTCCAGTGGTAATTCAGAGTTGCCAGAAATAGGTTTAGACTTTAGGATTCTCTGGCTCTAGACATTACACTCATACAGTGTATAGCAATAAACCACTTGAATATGCCTATTACTGAGGAGAAAACTGAGACAAAGCAAGTCACCAACTAATCACAGTTGGTATTGGAAGTGCCCAGGTGGAAGTTGTCCGACATCTGTCCGGCAGAGAGTCCCGCCTTAGGCGGAAGGGTGGACTTTGGTTTTACTTCCTGCTTTAAAGCACTCACATTTTGCCAGGTACATCCACATGCTAATTTGACAAAATACAAACTCTTACACCTGGCTTTAAGCTATATTTTATTTATATGGATTACAAACTAGCTAATAGCGGTTTTCTGTTTAGAAAGTAGTGTCTGTTTCTGGGGACATTTTTTTACATGAAGCTTTTACATCAGTTAACTTGTGCCCTTATAGAGTTGAGTGTGGACCTTGGTCCCTTGATTATATGACCAATTATATAGGGAAACAGGGACAAGTGAGTCTGTGTGATGCAGGCTGGAGGTCTGTGTGCTGTAATGGAAGGAGAAAGGGCGAGTTTGTTTCTACCTCTGAGAAATGGAGAGGATGCCTCTCAGATCGCTGCTCTGAGCGTCGCATAAGATGACATATGATGATAAGGGACTGGCATGTTCAAGGCGTCTAAGAGATGACAGCCGCTTTCTCGGCACACCAAGGTGTGGCCACAGAGGGTAGTTTCTTATGTGATGAGTGGAGCGATCTTGCAGGGCTCCTATGACTTTAAACCTGAGAGTCCTGATGTGGGAACAGGTCCTCCTAAGCTCCAACCCACAGAATATTTACTGATTGGGGAGAAATTAAGGCCCTCACTGTAATTGGGGAAATCCATGGTCAGTATTTTTTAACACATAATTGTTACACTCACCAGCTCTGAAAGAAATGAGAACACTGTGACATTTGCTGAGAACAGACAAGATTAATCTGTGAGACCATTTTTTAGAATAACACAGAAACTGGTTCTATTTGTATTTCACAAAGAGTCGCTTCTATAATATGTGGAAAATACTTCAGGGGTCTAACAGTGCGTTTGGGTCTTTTTAATAATTACTAATAGGGGACATAGAATAGTGGATATTACAAATCTAGGGGGATATTTAAAAAACTGTTTTTGCTCATTTCCTCACCAGTTCCCCTCATCCACTAGGCTCTTTGAAAAGCTTCTTCATCTCAGGTATACTGCTTGGTCCTGGACATGCACGTTACATGTGACATGTTCCTGCCCAGCTGAGGGGCAGGACACCCTGGCCAGCAAAAGGACTGGTGGCTTCCACAGGCAGAGCCCTCGCTCCTGTTCGTGCAGACTCGCCCACCTTTATCCTTCATTGTACCCAAGTCACAGCCTGCCTGTGCCATACTAGACAGCAAGGGAAACTGTTGGCATTTGAGCAGGACTTGAAGAAGCTCAGGCTGTGGAGGCATAAAAGGCAGGGGAGACATTGCCAGATTATGCATTCCCTTAGCCCCCCTCATTTTCCGTTCCAGCCAGAGAGCACCATTAGCATGTTCCCCACATGCTGCCTTTTGAGAGCACAAGTTTAGGGGCTGTGAAGGCTCAGTGGAGAGTTTTAAGCCAAGGTATATAAAAAGAGAATCTTCAAATCAGAAGTACAAAGTGGGGATTGATTACCATTTTTTAGAAGTTTCAGCTTTTTACCACCTGTCCTAGAAGTGTTGGGATGATTTCCGGGACTTAAGTTTAAAATAAATTTGTATTCCAGTTAATAGTCACTCCAGTTTTTGTTTTTATTGATTTTAGCATCTATATAAACAAATTGTTAAAACTGACTCAGTAATCCAGCTCTCTAAGTGGTATTACTGGATCTGCTCTTGTCTGCATGCTTTCGTTCAGGTGATGGAAAATATCCTTTCCATGTGGCTAGACTCTAGTTCATTGCTATCACTTCTGCATCCTGACTGGACAGTTGGGGTAATAGATGTCTGTGAACCAAACTCATCCCTGCTGCCTGCTTATCTTGCCTCGCTGTCCCTTCTCTCTCTCCTGATCATAGAGCAATGGCCAACCCAAATGTCTTTTCACAGAGGAGTACGTTGTAGGCCTTCAAGGGACCTTGGGAGTTACCTAACTTAACCTACTGATCTGACTGGATTAGATAACTGTAAGATGATTCATGCATTAACTACACGTCTCTTGATAGTATTTTGTATGGAACTGAAAGTTTTCAAGGTATTTGTAAATTTATTTTACTCGTTTTTAGAATACTGTTAGCAAATTGGAACATTCTCACAGTTTACAAAGTAGTGAAAGTCATATTGGTATTACAGATTTTTTTGAGGTTGTGTTATGTGTTGAATGGAAACGTGGGAAGATGCAAGTTGATTCTGTTTCAAAATGCTAAGTAACTGGTGATTTTCTCAGTGCCTGTTCACTTTGAAGTTGAGAGTAGATATGAAAAGTACTCCTTTTCTTGGAAAGGTGTACATTTTTCATATTCATGGCCAAGAATATAGACACAGGGATTATAATCTCAGTAGTAAAACTGTTTATGATTTATAAAATCATAAATTATGAGCTTGTAAAATATGAGTCCTGGGCATCGCTCCTACTGGAATCAGATTTACTAGTACGTCCTATTCCTCCTTTGTTTCTATGGTTTTTAAAACATACATTGCAGCAGTGTGGGAGGGCGGCTGCCCCTGGCATTAAAGGGCTCTCCCCAGCAAGTCATTGTTCTGCCTACACTTTCCTCGGGATAAATACGATTCAGGTGCTGGCACCTCTCTTGCTTGTCTCCATGCCCTGCTAAGCCCGGTGCGCAGTGGCGCATGGTTGTTACAGTCCTTGCCACTGGAGGAGTTATTATGAGCATGGTTATTTTCTGGGATTAGAAAGGCCCTCTGAATTCAACAGGTGACTCAAAAATTGTTTTATATTTCCTAATACTGAAAAGTGTGATTAATACCAGCAATTGGTTCCCATGATTTAACTGAAAAGCAGGACTAATAGGTGAGCAAGATAGGGAGCCATAGACTATCACTTGAATTTGAGTTCCTGAGACACAAATACACTCCAGAAGAGTTGACAAACTCCTTTTAATGCCATGAAACTAGATGAGACCTATTTTACATAAACAGGCCACCTTCACAGAGACTGTGTGTGGCTGTGTGCCCTTACAGGGAAGGCAAGACCTTTCTTGTCCATCAAACTGGGATTGCCTCGCACCAAGAGAGCCCTGAGATTTTCCATTCTGCCGCGCAGCATTTCAGCTCTCTTTCCACATTTGAAGAACAGAAAGACTAAGTGACCTTGTTTTTGTCTCCTGGGACAGCTATTTTTAAATTTTTCTCAAAATTACCTGGTGGGATTCCAGCCAAAATTGAATGCAGATAGGTAACATTTAAACTTCTTTCCAAAGCCCAGTCGGTTATTCCATACGTTCTGCATTTTACATTTTGAAATTTTAAACTTTGACCACAGACTTTGTTTTTTTTAGGCCTGGGTAAAATAAGGTTTGTGTTGGTTAGATGAGGTGTGATGTTGTTGGAAGGTACCCTTTGGTGAGAGATCTCTAGGGCATTGGCCACTCAAAATCCAGTTGTCCATTTATATGATATTGATTCTGCCAGAATTTCAAATGTGATGCTACTTTGATTCCACTGAGCCCACATTTAAGTTCTGCTCTATCAAGAAAATGCATGGTCCATTTATACATGCTGGTTTGTAATAAAGTTGGAGTTTCTTTCCGCCAAGTTCAGACTAACTTATACAGTCCTAATTTGGAAACAGTCATTCAGAAAACTCTTTTCCCACCCTCTCAACATGAGAGGGTCGACTAACCAGTCTCTTCCTATGTGAATAAGTGAATATGAAGGAAGAAGCCGGGTAATTATGAAAACTTAAATTTAGCATTATAGTTAAATGGCTTGATTATTTTAAAAGTCTCTGTGGGCAAAGTTATTCTAAAAACTGACTTTCCTTAAAGCATAGTTCTGCCCTGGCCAGTGTGGGTCAGTTGGTTGAGTGTCATCTCTTTCTGGTTGGATTCCTGGTCAGGGCACATGCCCATATTGCAGGCTTGATCCCCAGTGCGGGGCATGTTAGAGTCAGCCAGTTGATATTCTGCTCTCACATCTTTACATCAATCTTCCTCTCCCTTCCTCTCTCTCTAAAAATCAGTAAAAATATTTAAAATTTTAAAAGGCATAGTCCTTATAGTCTTCATCATAAAGGGACTCCCTTTCCACACCTATGTTTTCATCACATTACTGCCAACCAGGTGCAACCCATATAGTGACACCAGCATTTCCTTTTTTTATCTCAACCTACTAAGGCATGAATTTTCTCTCTCTTCTCCAGCCTTACAGTGGAACGTATTTATTTGAAGTTAAAATGTAAACCTTACATAATCTCAGCTGTTGTGAGTACTTCCTCATATTTAGAAACAAGACTAACACAGACCTGAGTATCTGGTTCATGTCAGAGTAGTGATGGAGGCATCTTCCTTCTCCTCATCCTCAGCCGAGGGGAGAAGGGCTGCTGTGCTAAGCTGTTCTTTCTGGGAGGAAGGCAGAATGCATGCATTTCCAGCCCTGGTGCCTGTTCTCCTGGAGCAGGTGTCAGGGGCCCCCACTTTGTCTTTGGAGGAGAAAGAAGGTGTTCCCAACACGCCAGGTTCCAGGTTGGCACTTGGCTCCTGTGATAATAGGAAGGGTTAACATATGAATGTGGCATCTAAGTTTTCACATCAGTGCAAAGACCTGAGTAATCCATAACAGAGCTGGAATCTGACAAGATCACAAAGCTCAAGGACTTCGGTGTCCCTCTTTTTCATGGCAGACTGGGATCGCCATGTATAACATTGTTTCTAAGGTGCTTTTTATTCCGAATTTCATTTAGGTGACTTTCCAGCTAACTTTCTGAAGGTATCTTCAATCTGTTCACCCTGTCACCCCCTATAGTATTCAACCAAAGTGTCTGCCACTTTGTTCTATGCTTTGCAGTTCATCTCTACCCGAGTGGGATGCAAGGGGGATCGAGGAATACCTGGTACTCGGCCTGGTCTCTAACTGCTGAGGGTTAATGGCTCCAGCTGGAGTCCTCCTGGATGCCCTGTCAAGTACACAGCTGGTGTTTAACCAGTTTTAATCTTTTCCCACACCTTAGGATGATTCCAGTCCCGCCACTCCAGATGGGAATGAAAACTCCACTACGACAACCAGCACCTTCACCATCCAGGAGTACTTTGCCAAGCGGATGGCAGAGCTAAAGAACAAGCCACAGGTTGTTGCTGCAGGGCCTGACCTTCCAGAGACTCAAATGGAAAGGAAAAGGGGAAAGAAAAGAAAGAAAGAGGCAAAAAATAAAAATGTGGAGAATTACACCCAACCCAAGACCAAGAAAAAGAGAGACCAAGCTGAGCAGCAGCTCGGAGACCCTCAGGGGGATGAGAATTCTGATGCTTCTGCTGAGGATGGAGAAGACTGTATGTGGCCATTTGATGACCAGGACTTACCACCAAAGCCCAAAAAAAAGAGAGAAAAGAAAAAGCTACAAAAGCAGGTTGAGGCAGCAATGGATGCTACTGTGGATGAAACACCAGTGAAAAAGAAGAAGAAAAAGAAGAAAGATTCCAAGTAAATTCTCTTGAGCCAGGGCCTTCCAACCACTCAGGTGTCAGGGCACTGCCAGACTGCCTTGGCCTGGAGTCAGAGCAGAGTTCACCCAAGAGAGTGTGCACATCTTTTAACATGCCCGTGGATTGCTGGGTCTCGCCCTCTCACCACATTTTCCCCAAACCATTTTCCAAGGACTTTTTAATGTTCCAAATCTTGACTCTCATGAACAAATAAATTTCTTTGTAGACTCTGAGCCCTTCACTGTGAGTATTCATTCATATTCGTATGAACACGTCAAGTTGTGTATGTGCACACATGTGTGTAGGTATGTCAGTCTATATTTGCTCTTGATTTCCTTCAGTAACAATGAATTGTGCTTCCTTCTGAAGGACTTAGTCTAATTAAAGGATTAAGAGGCAATAGTTTAGATTCAGATCATTCTTTTTGTTCTATAGCCAACCATACATTTTTGCCAAGTAGGTATTATATTATTACTCTCCCAAATCAGACTTGTTTTTGTTTGGTTTGATTTGGTGCAGTTTTGATGGGGAAACTGTTTTAATGTCCTCTCTTCACTAAGCAGTGGCAGCCTAGTGTTCTGAGGTCTCCTTCCCAAGACTGCAGTCTAAGTGAGCTGACTAGGAACCAGGGAACCTTCCCTGAGAGAGAGTAGGCAGGCCATGTGATGATGCTCCGGGGACAAATCCCCTATTGTGGGCTCCACCTTATTTATAACGATCAGGAGCTCCTCAGAAGCTTAAAAGATTGGGAGTCTAAGGTCAGGAAATTAATTTTATCTGTAAACCACTCACTCTGTAGATTGAAACTACCTTGTGAATGTTCTTAAAAGTATTAATAGCACATAAATGTAAAAGATACTTCTCAGTTCAGTCCTGCTCAGACCCAGTGGTGTCGCCGAGTTGTGTTTATACGGCCTTCTGCCACACCCTGGCGTCTCCCTGTGTGTGTTTACCCAGATAACTTCACGCCCTCCTTGGGACACAGAATTAGGAAGAAAATGCACGCTTATAAATTAGAGGTCCAGCCCTATTGTTTTCTCTGCCTGTTTCTCCTCTCTTCCTTTCTTTGTTCTCTTTATCTCTTCCTTCTTTTCTTCTCCATCCTTTTATTTGTTTATTCCCTCATCCTCATTCCCCCTTTATTTTCAATTCCAGTTTTCTTCTAACCCCTTTCCAGTTGCCAGCTGCCCATCCTGCTCTTGCAATCTTGGTGCTTGGCCTGCTTCTGACAGACCTGTCAGAGTGGCTGTGGGGGTGTGGCAGGGCGTGCAGGCTCGGTGCTCTTTTCCACTTGATTGATAGATTGCTACTGGATAATACATGCAAGCTGATGACCTTTTGCCCTGATTTTGACTCTGGAGGAGAGGGGGTGGGCCTTCATACATTAGATATGAAGCATGGCCCAGAGAGTCTTCACATTGAGAAAGTATAGTAAGAATGTTTGGTTTTGGTCTCTTAAGAATTCTGAATTGTTTAAAAAGTCACACACACTACCCACAAAGAAAATTCAGAGCCTGAGGTCTAGTTTCTGAGTTTTATCATGGCCCCCCCCAGAGTGCAGAGTCCCCGGCTATGGTTCAATTTATTAAAGCACCAAAGATTTTTAAAGTCACTTTTCTTCTCAGAGGGCACATGCCCAAATTATCTCTGCTTGTCCTATCTTGTAAATGAACTGAGTTCCAGAAGGGAGTGGGAATGTATGAAACCTAAAGGGAATACTCTTTACAAAATATTTTTTTCCTTTCCACCCACATATTTAATATATATTTAATATATTTATATATATTTAACATATTCTTTTTTGCCTTTTATTTTATTAATTTTAACTTTTTTTTTAACCAATAAAAATGAGAGTCACACAAATATACTGAATTGTGTGCAGGAGGAGAAAGCAGGTGGGGGTTTAGGAAGCAGGTGAGATGAAGGGGCCGGCCAGGAAGACCAGGGTAGGGAGGTGCTGAAGGAAAGTTCTTGGAGTTGAGAATTCCAAGGCAAGGGTAAAACATCTCAAGATTATTAGATGCAACTAAATAAATAGATACTGTAGGCTGTAATTTTTATTATTTTAGTGGGCTGAAAAAAGAATTCCTGGATGATTTTAGGAATTTCAGGGTAGCCTGAGAAAGAAGTACTTGCTCAGCAAAGAGCAGACCAGTGTGACCCTTTACTTTGAAGGATGTGGAAGCTTAATTTTCACTAGAAATCTGCAGTGTTCATTTTTCCCAAGTGTCTCTTTTATAGGCCACTTGGTTTTCCGGATCTAAGTGGAAGATTGAAATATATACGCTTGAAACTTGCATTTCATAGACATGATATTTCTTAAATTGTTAACAAATGAACCCTATTTTTGCCTTTAATTATTTCACTTGGTAAAAATGTATTTTTATTCTTCAGTGCTTTCCTTGGCATCCTTCAGTTTTAATAGGGAAAGCAGGTACCCCGGAAAAGATTTAGCCAATGAAGAGGTTCTTAAATGTTACAGCACCCTTCTTTCCCTTCTGTTAATTTTAATAGATATTAATTATTGCTGCATGAGGTCCTGTGTGCCTGGCCCTATTCCAAGCACTTTAAATAAATCAGCTCATGTCGTCCTCAACCCAGTAAGTAAGCACTATTGTTAGTTACCCCCTTTTACAGATAAACACTGTTTTTATAAAAGGGCCTCTTTCAGTTTTTATAATTAGATTTATGATGCTCCCAGAGAACCAGTGGAAGCTGCTGGCAAACGGTAGAGTTTTACAATGAACTGGAGTTAGCATTACTTACATGCGCTGTGGAAAATACTTGCAGATAGCCTGTACATTTGAAATTCTCAACGGATGTTCCTTCCCAATTTGGTCAAGAGGTTGGTGGGAAATTGGGTAAGTAACTCAACTTCTTAAAACCTCTTTGCCAGTCTATGAAAAAAAAAAAGACATTTTCTTCTAATTTGCAGAAAATACTGGTACTTCTGAAATACAAAACCTAAATGAGCCCTGGTTTTATACCACAGTGCGGATCTTGCCTCTCCTCCCTCACCTGTTGGCTGACTCCGGCAGGAGCAAGCTGGGACCTGCTCTTTTAGAAACAGCATCAGAGAAATGTTTCGGCACAATCTACCTGAGTGATCTCAGCCTGGACCAGCAAGCAGCGGCTGTATTTTGATTTGAGTAAGAACTTCCCCACTGTCACCCTGTTTATCTCGTGGGTTCTGCAATCATTGCAGTTTGGAGCCTGTTGTGCTGGCACTGGGGCTGGGGAGGTCAGATCCCTGCTGATGTGAGATTTCATAGCTCTCGGTTGTTAGTGAACAAATTAGTATCACATCCTAATAAAACGGATGACTAGACTCCATGCATAAAAGTGTACGATCTAGTTAGGAAATATTGAGTCCACTAAAATGGTATGCACAAAGCCCTTATGGGACCGGAAAGAGGAAGGCAAAGGCAGAGAGAGCAGGTAAAAAGGTGGGTGGGCCCAGGACTGCGTCTGGTGCCAGTGTTGTGATGGTGGCAGTGTGTGGGCTAATGCAGACATGCTCACCGAGTTCTTCTTTCTCACCTGAGTTGAATTTTTGTATAAGCGTTAGCAGCAAACTTAAGGAAAACTGCAATGAATTATTTAGCCAATGGAAGGATTTTGTATTTAGTTACATCTTAAATTTTCTCTTTGTATTTCCTGTATTGGTTTTCCTTTGAGAAAGGTAACGTGGATATGAGAAGCCGTTATTTGTTCTAAAACGATTTGCTGAGCCCCAACTTAGAACTAAGCCTAGGCCAATTCAGGACTGAGTAATCCATTACAGGGCCTACCCACATTCAAGATCTATCAACTTGTGTCCTTTAGGTCGGTTTTCCTTATCCTAGAACACTGTCAATGGGATGTACTCAGGACCTGGCGCCCTCCACACTGGGGGGTTTCATCACCTTTAACATTCATGCTAATCGTGTTAATCAAATTGGGTAGTAAGCTGTAAACCATTCTTTGCTAACTCATTATTTGACTTGAACCTGAGGAGTGACTTCCCATGCAGATCTCCCTTATTAACATTTCTAACTGTGATAAATAAGCAAAATTATATGAACATTCTTCCACATAGAGTGAATTAAAAATGTATTTTGCCTAAGTGGAGAGTGTAAGAAAGACCACAGCTCCTCTCACCAGCCCCTCCCCTCTCCTCTGTCCCTTCTGTTACTGGCATATTTGTTGAAAGAACTGGGTATAGAAGGACTAGGAGACCTAGCTTTGAGGTAACCTTACTTTGCCTAGGGACTGGGGACACCCTTTGACCCGGGATGGAACAACAAATATTAAACATTTGTTAAAGAAATGGAAGCCTGAAGGCAAACTCTAGCCTTCAAAACTTGGGGAATGAAGCTGTGAGAAATCCAGGGGAGTGCCACCGAGCCTTCACTGTTGGGAGTGTCCTTGCTTTCACCCTCCTCCTCACCTGCTACGCAGCTTCCCCCAGGTGAGTGGCTTTACTCCAGACTGTTCTATCTCCTTTCACCTACCCTACACCCCCTAAAACTCCTGAGTGTCATTTCCTGAATACTCCTTGGCTGTCAGGAGACAGAAAGTCCTTGAATGTTTTGCTCAGAAGTTTTGTGTTCTCTCTCTCTCTCTCTCTCTCTCTCTCTCTCTCTCTTTATATATATATATATATATATATATATATATATATATATATGCATATACATATATATCTACACTAATAAAAGAAACATGCAAATTGGTGTCACTCTGCTACGCCCACCAGCCAATCAGGATGAGTCTGCAAATTAACCCAACAAAGATGGCAATTAATTTGCATATGCAGGCGTGGAGTGAAGATGGAAGACAGCATAGAACAGCGGTTCTCAACCTGTGGGTTGCAACCCCTTTGGTGGTCGAACGACCCTTTCACAGGGGTCGCCTAAGACCATCCTGCATATCAGATATTTACATTACGATTCATAATAGTAGCAACATTACAGTTATGAAGTAGCAACGAAAATAATTTTATGGTTGGGTCACAACATGAGGAACTGTATTTAAAGGGCCAGAAGGTTGAGAACCACTGGCATAGAAGGAAGCCAAGCACAGCATGAGGGAGCAAAGCGGTGGAGAAGGGAGGGAGCCGAGGCAGCGGACATGGGAGGGAGTGAGGCAGCGGAAAAGGGAGCTTCGCTCCAGCCACAGGAAGCCCTATTCTTGCAGGAATCTTCCTGCAAAGGGCCTCTAGTATATATATACACACTCATGACCAATGTTTCTGCTTCTTTCTGAACAATTCCCATGTCTGGATCTGTCCCCCACTGGTCAGTCTCAAGCTTTCCTTCCGCATCTCCAATTAATCATCGTGAGGGTCCCTCAGATTCAAAGGATCTGAAAGGAACTCTTGTTCATCCTTTCCAGGCCACCTTCTGTACCTGTTGTTGCTATGGATACCCCTATGCTTTCACTGTGGCTTTATCATCTAGGGCAGTGGTCAGCAAACTGCGGCTCATGAGCCACATGCAGCTCTTTGGTCCCTTGAGTGTGGCTCTTCTACAAAATAGCACGTGCAGGCGCACATGTACAGTGCGATTGAAACTTCGTGGCCCATGCGCAGAAGTTGGTATTTTGTGGAAGAGCCACAGTCAAGGGGCCAAGGAGCTGCATGTGGCTCGCGAGCTGCAGTTTGCCGACCACTGGTCTAGGGCCATCTACAACAATTCAACCTAATTAAGTGACTGCCATTGGTGTCCTAGGTTAAGTTCTTGATCCCTCTGCCTGGTGAGTCATGCCCCACAGCTCCTGGCTCTATCCCTCTTTTCCATTTATCCAGTTAATTCCATAATAATTCTTCCTGGAGCATTGCACCCACTGCCTTGAGGGGCCCCACGTCCCCCATTTGCACTCTCACTCTAGTGCATGACTGTGCCTCTTGTGTATCACTGTCCTTTCCCTCCTGCTGGCCTTCTCCACCTACTGGCCTTCAAAGCCTGCCTCTGATGTCATCAACAGTTTCTCCAGCCTTTCCTCATCCGGCCCCCAGTAGCAATCTCTCCCATTCCCGAGTCTTCATAGCTTTCTGACTCATCCAGGTCTGCCTGATATTGGAGTTTATGGATGTCTCATTTCCCCCATTCAAGCCTAGGGCCACTGAGGGTGAAGTTCATCTCTATGCCTACAGCACCCAGGACAATGCCTCACACACAGCGGGCAGAGAAGGACTCTTAAATGAAGAAGCAAATGAACAGACCACAGCGAGGCAAGAACCGGGCTCTGAAGACCTGCACTGTATCCAGATGAGGATGTCTAGTCAGGGTGCACTGCTGTGACCACGGCCCCCACTCGGGGTTCCTTCAAGTTCTGAACACTATAACCAATATGTGTGAGACCTGCTCACCCAATCTGAAGGCTTGATTATTAATTCTTCCCTACTTCTCCCCTAGCCTGCACTGTTGGTGACTCACCTAGCCCACCAGGATCTCTAATGACCCCCTCTCAGGGCCCCATTTTCAAGTCTCCCTCGAGTGGTGGCTGTAGGATCTAGCAAAATACCTGACGAGGCCCTCAGTACATTTTCCTCTCTTCCTCCAAGCACAAGAGAAAATGAAAAGTAAGTTCCCTACAAATATCGGAGCCCAGTCAGAGGGTGCAGCAGCCGTCCTCCCAGTGCCCCTCAGAGCTATCACCAGGGCTCCTGAACAACTCTACCTGCTGCAACCGCTCTTCCTCCTGACTGACAAGCTCCAGGATGAAGCACAGGGCGGTGTGGTTAGGTCATCCTGAAGACATCAGAGTCCCAGGAGAGCTTAGCACTCCCCACTGAAGGAGGTAACCTGAGCAGGGCCAGGGCAGGGTGGGGTGTGGCCACATTGACTCAGACTTCCCAGGTGACAGGTCTCAGGATCCTGCCCTTGCCTGGGACTCCTAGGCAGCCCTAGTCAAGCAGGTTGTTGCAAATTAGCCTACAGGGATTACAAAATCCTGCTGAGATGGGGCAAGGCACTGCAAGCTGAGATGAGCAAATGATGGCAATTGTGCTGGAAGAGAGAACAGTGTACTCTGGCCACATAAGCCAGTTGGTTGGGTCTTCCAAATCAGAGGAGCCTTCCAAACATCAACCCTGAGACACGACACCCTGCTCACCTCAACCCTGTAAGAGCTGTGTTATTACATTCCTCATTTATAGATGAAAAAATAGGCTCAGAGTTGCACAGTGCCTACACCAAGGTCACCAGTTCATAATATGACAGACGGAAGGGTGGTCCCCCTGAGCTCCAACCCCTTTTTGATCCTGGAGGCATGAGTGTGACAATTCAGAGTTTGGAAGAGTTAGTGCCCGAGTACTTACTTGATGCTCTTTAGAGGGCAGTCAAGAGTGATGACCTTGAAATTCCTTTCCTGGAACTAAACTTTAGTGTTTTGAGTTTTGCTTCATGAATCTTGGAGTTTAGGACTGGAAGGAACCTTAGAAATTTAAACCAGAAAGATAAAAGTCAGAGATTTGGTGCAGAACCACCTGGGCAGAAGCAAAAGGGCTAGATGACTTCTTTGTCCCACCCAGTCGCTGCTCTAGAGCCTTCTCCTGGCTGGCTCCTGAGAGGTACTCAGGCTGCAAAGACCACTCTACCCCAAGACCATTGGATGTGATACTATGTGAGCTTTGAGTTCAGGGGTCCCAGTCCTTTCTTTTCTCATTACTAGTGTTTGACCAGGATGGTTGAAAGAGAATTATACAGCCAAAACCGGTTTGGCTCAGTGGATAGAGCGTCGGCCTGCGGACTGAAACGTCCCAGGTTCGATTCCGGTCAAGGGCATGTACCTGGGTTGCGGGCACATCCCCAGTGGGAGATGTGCAGGAGGCAGCTGATCGATGTTTCTCTCTCATCGATGTTTCTAACTCTCTATCTCTCTCCCTTCCTCTCTGTAAAAAATCAATAAAATATATTTAAAAAAAAAAAAAAAGAGAATTATACATAGAGATCTAAGGCACAGTATAATGAATATAGATATTTATGTTGTACTATAATTTAATGTGATAAATATCACTACATCGGCAATCATATTACAATATGTAAATGTGTCAAAGTAACACATTGTACACCTTCAACTTACACAATGTTACACATCAGATTTATTCAATTAAAAAAAAGAGGCTTATGGTAACCAGGGAGGATGACCGATATGTATATCTCATTATCAGTTATTAATGTCATCCTTTATTAAGCTGGATGCTTTGCAATTATTTTCTCATTCTCAGAACAACCTGTAGGTAATTATGATTACCCTAATTCTGGGTGTGAAAAAAATGAGATTCTGCTTGATTGACATTTTCTCAATTACACATCTAGTGAGTAGCCAAACCAGTACTGGAGCCCACATCTTTCTGACTCCAAAGCACCCACTGTTTCCTCGGTGCTACAGAGCCTCCTCACTATCCCTGAGGATCGTCTTGTGAACATGGTTGAGAAGAAACGTGATTCAAGATTTGGTTCAGCAGCCACCTGCCTCCCTAACCACTCCTGGTGTGGATTCTATGTCCCTCTCCTTTGCTCCTTTGGAGATGATTGTGTGCTTTTTTTCCAACTTATAACTGGAGAAGATTTTGCCTCCTGTATCTCCAGCACCTAACACTGTGCCTATCCTCTAATGCATGTTTAAGAATTATTTTTAAATTAAATTATGGAATTAATAAGTGAGTAAATGAAATAATTTCCTCTCATTCCTACATGTCTCTGTATTTTGGGGTAGTGTGCACATGTAGCCCAAAGAGATCTGTGCCTACCAATCAATGTTGTATTATTAACAGACTAATGAAGGTGTAATTTATAAACAATAAACACCAATTTTAAGTGTGCAATTTAATGAGTTTTGAGAAGTGAGTACAGTTGTGCAATCACCACCTCTATTGTAATATATGACATTTCTATCAGCCAGTAAGTTTCCTTGTGCTCCTTATCAGTTCTCTCCCCCCATGTCCTGGCCCCTGAGCAACTACTGATCTGCTTTCTATCATTATAGCTTTATTGTTTCCAGAATTTCATATAAATGGAATCATTTTAACTTAGAATAACACTTTTGAGATTTAACAATGTTATTGTATTTGTCAGTAGTTTGTTCATTTTATTACTATTTAAATTACATTATATAGATAGACCACAGTCTATCCATTCATCAGATGAACATTTGGGATTTTTGCAGCTGTGTACTCTTGTGCATAAAGCTTCAACCTTTAATACAAGAACATTCATATGAACATTCAAATAAATGTCCTTATTTGGACATACACTTTCATTTCTCATGCAGAAATTCCTAGGAATGGAATGTCCAGGCCATATGATAAATATTTGTTTAACTTTGGTACTGCCAAACAGTTTTCTAAAGGCTACCTCTTTACATTCTCACAAGCAGTTTATGAGAGTTCTATATGTTCCACATCCTCACCAATACTTGGTACTCTCAATCTTTTTAATTTTAGCCATCCTAGTAGATATATACTAGTACCTCATTATGGCTTTAATTTACATTTTCTCCTGATAACTAATAATGTTGAGCATCTTTTTCATGTGCTCATTGGCTATTTTTATATCTTTTCTAAAGCATTCTATTTTTGCTCTGTGCTTTCATTGAATTTTCCTCTTAATGTTGAGTTGAAGATGATTGCCTACATAGAAAACCCATAGGAATCTACCCCCAAAATGTCCTTGAACTGATAAGTAAGTTTAAATAGCTCACAGGATACAAGGGCCACATAACTATATTAATACTTTAGTGAATTATTGGCTTACTAGACAAAGACTTTAAAATAACTCCTTTGTATGCTCAAAGAGCTAAAAGAACTGAAGGAAATTAGGAAAAATGACATGTGAACAAAATGAGAGTATAAACAGAAATTATAAAAATCTAACAAAATTCCAGACTGAAAAATACAATAACTGAAATTTTACTAGAGGAGTTCAATAGGAAACTCTAATAGGCAGAAGAAAAATATCAGTGAACTCTGAAGAGCCACACAGAAAAAAAAAAAGTGAAGGAAAATGAACCGAGTCTAAGATACTTGTGGGTCATACTAGGTGTACTGGTTAAGAATGCAGATTTAATTTCAAGAGAAATATCAAAAGTGTTTTATTCAAAGTAATGTCCATCGCTAGCTACACATTTCCCCCATCTTTCAGGTAATTTGTGGATACCATCCCAATAGAACTTTTCTTGTTTTGAGGCAAACCATTCAGAAACCCAATTTCCCACTTTGTACGTTTTGAAGTGCTGCTCAGAAAGTGCATGTGCCATCGATTGGAACAAGTGGTAATCTGAAGGAGCAAGGTCTGGTGAATATGGCAGGTGAGTTAATACTTCCCAGGCAAGATCTTTTAACGTGTTATCATGAAGCAAAATTAACTTTGCCGTGTCTTCTGGCCCATTCTGGTCATTTTACCATCAAAGCGTGGTTCAAATTGACCTGAATGTTCTTTGTCTTTCACATTGAAATCATCACTTTTAAAGTGTTTAAACCAGCATTCACAAGTATCTTGAGATGGCGCATGTTCACCATAAACTTCCGAAAGTATACGATAACTCAGCAGCACTTTTCTTCAAAATAAAATAATGAATTAAAACTTCCTGCAAATGCTCTTTTTTTGGCATGAAATTCGACATTTTTTTAAAAAATATATTTTATTGATTTTTTACAGAGAGGAAGGGAGAGAGATAGAGAGTTAGAAACATCGATGAGAGAGAAACATCGATCAGCTGCCTCCTGCACATCTCCTACTGGGGATGTGCCCACAACCCAGGTACATGCCCTTGACTGGAATCGAACCTGGGACCTTTCAGTCTGCAAGCTGACGCTCTATCCACTGAGCCAAACCGGTTTCGGCAAATTTGACATTTTTAAGCATGAAAATATCTATGATGTTAACACCTTCAGAAAATTTGACATATGAAGTTTTTGAAGCTTGTCAATACAACAAAATAGCATAAATATCAAATCGCATATATATCAACATATGTGTAATTCCATTTATTGAAAAAAATCCGCATTATTAATTGGTACATCTAGTAAACAAACAGACCAATATAAACATTATAGGAGTGCCAGAAGGAGAAGAAAGGAACAGAGAGAATATTTGAAGAAATAATGACTGAAAACATCAAATTTGATGAAATAAATGAGTGAATCCAAGAAGCTTAACAAACTTCAAGTATGATAAGCCCAACCAGGACAGATAATAATCAAACTGTTGAAAGGTTTTTTAAAAAGCAAGAGAAAAGTGACTCATCACATGCAAGAGATCTCCTATGAGACTATCAGATTTCTCAGCAGAAACTTTACAGGACAGAAGTCAATGGGATTATATATTTTAAATTATGACATTTAAAAGCTGTCAACCAAAATTGGCAAAACTCTTCTTCAAAAAATGAGGGAGAAACCAAGATATTTCTAGACAAAGAGAGTTAATTGCCACTGGATCTATTCTACAAGAAATTCTAAAGGGAGTCTTTCAAGTTGAAATATAAGGACACAAGAGAGAGGGTACCTTGAATCATATGAAAATATAAGGTTCTTTGTAAAGGTAAACACAGACAAGTATTTAAAAAAAACAGTATTATAATTTGGGTTTATAACAAATTTTAATAAATATTTAAAAACAAATCATACAAAGTATAGTATATTTTCCAATCACAATAGAATGAAATTAGAAATCAACAGAAGTAAAATTAGAAAATTCACAAATATGTGGAAATTAACACAATCTCAAACTGTCAATAAGTCAAAAAAATCATGAGGGAGATTAGGAAATATTGAGACAAAAACTATAACATATCACATGAAATCATAAAGCAGACACCTTCACTGTACACTATTCAAATTCCTGACCCATAGAGGCACCAAGTATAATAGTTGTTATTTGGGCAGTTAATTACGCAGCAATGGATAACTGGAGCACATCCCTTCATGGATCGTTGTGCGATTCTAGCAGAAATTCAAGGTGAATGGTTCAAGGATTAAATTATACAGCTAGTCTAAGTGCATATGTTGAATGGGGAGCGTGTTTCCTAGTGAAGTCTTCACAAAGACTGCTGAGACATCCCAACTTTCTGAATATAAATCCAGGAGCAGTTGAATAGAGTCTCTTCATATGAGTTGTTGTAGGCAACTCATGTCAGTGCTTGTGGGCAGTGGGGCTATTGAAGGCTGTCCTCTTGTTGCCCAGCTAGCTGGCACACTGTGCACTGTTCCTTTTGCCCTAACGCTTTTCTTTCCTTCCATCTTACCCCTTTCAGAGTGCCCATGATGTACAGCACATTATTTTAGGTTCTGGAGTGTGAAAAATGAATATATATTAACCATGTCATTTATTATCTGTATGCTGATGCTTTGCCACCTCAGGTTTCACTGACTCCGGAGGGACTGCCCCTCCCAAGGCTAGCCAGTTCCTACAGATAGTAAACAACTCATCTGCTGG